GTTGCAACTATACATAGCTGCCCTCGTAAAGACTTAAAATTCACTACTGCAATTATTGGTAAAAATTATTGTCATTTATGTATGTGTACCGAAATATACCGCCAACAACATTTCTATATTTTTTATTCGAGTCTCAGATGACTAAAAAAGTTAGCAGACACAAAGAAAGCAGCCAACCATGCCTGGTGTCCACATTTAGTTATTTCAATGCAAAAAAAAAAAAACGGAACAACAACCATAAAATGATTTACTTGGGATGCAGCAGTTGGCTGACGGCCTGTCATGAATGCCAGCAGACTGACTCGTCATTCGCCGCTATTACTAAATTTTGGCAATACATTGAAGATCTGCTGTACCCAAAATTTTAATACCGCTGTATTTTCTCGTGGGGTTGGTCGTTCTGTTAAAATCCAAATTTTATTCGCTGTACGACGCAATAAATGTTAGAAGATTTTTTTTAGGTTGTCGTCGTCGCTTTTTTCATTTGATTTTAGTTATTTCAATGTCAGCATTTACTTAAGTGAATTTTGAACATAAGAATATAACGAAAAAGAGAGAACAGAAAGAAATGAAAAATAAGAAATGGTGTGTGCAATTACACAATGCAACACTGAATTGTATGTCTATACATATTCATTCATAGATTTTTATATATATTTTTAATAAGTCCTTGTCCTTGTTTATATTCCAATTAAAACTGGACGCTAAAACTAGAAATTCGTCCACACAAGAGGGTTGAAAAAAAAATATCTTAAAATTGGCCAAAGGTACGATGTTTTAGACAGTCGTCTTTGTTTCCATTATGCATTTTTTGACAAAGCTGTTTTGTTTTCAAAATTTCGTAATATTAGTTTCTGGAATGTAAATATGTTATCTGTCTTATTAAATGTAACTCAAACTAAAGAAATTGACATATAACAGTTCTAATAAAAAATCTTTGAATTAGAAGTTGCCAGGTCTGCAAATCTGAGCAATGTTGTAGTATCAATAGAATACTCTATGTAACCATACATATTAGTAGTCTGCATAATTTTGTTCTTACGTGTAGATTTACTTTCAAATAAATTTACTGAAGTGCCGCAATGAATATCAATTCTGAGAACATACAAACAAGTTCAGTGTCCCAAAAACAACATATGGAATTTGCCAATAAATATTCCCCATTAAAAATGCACCATTCCGAATACACTTTCTTGTAATTGTAGTCAAAAACAAAAAAATAAATAAAATTTGCAATAATTTAATTTTATTAAACCAAATAATCTGTTTGATTATATCTATTATAAATATCATGACAAGTAATTGATCGTGTTTGTCATGTTATTTATCTACAGTTCAGAGCTCTCAAAAACATTGAATTTGTTTCGTTTTATTTTCATTCTTTAAGAAAGATAAACAAAACAGTTCTACAAATATTAATACGGCTCTGGCAAATACCATGCTATCAACATTTGTATCGCAAGTAGCCAGAGGTAGGTACTTCAGTTAATTGACATTGAACGTACAATCAGCGACAATTTTAAGATTCAAGACGTCGATTTCGAACCAAATACGTGTTTGTTTTTCTGATAAACCCAACGATTTAGAACAAATAACGAAAAGAAAACAAACTAGAATAATCGACCTAAATTTAATGCAAACAGAATGAATGAATAAGAAGTTTGTTTGCAAAATTCTGCTGGAAAGCATCAAGGGCATTAACCACTGAAATAACTGTTCGCTTTCCGCGCAAATTTTGCTAAATAAAAATGGTATACAATTTAAAATTCATACTTTTTTATTTAATTGTATTTTTTATTTGTTTTCAGACATTTAAATTTTGGACTTCTGCATACCAGACTGTTATTGATTTACCATTAAAAGACCGGTTTAAATCTTAGAATCTCACGTTTTTCAAATGTGCTTATGGGATATTGTCAAACATTGATGATGAAATCATTTAAATCGGTAAAAAAACGTGTTGTGGTAAATACGAACATTTTTTATTATTATTACACTGTGCGACACGAAAATTTTTCAGGGGTTCTAATGTACCAATTCTGTTTAGTTGGAGTCCCTGGACCACGAAAATACCTTTAGTAAATATAGAGAAAAACGTGGTTTCATGGATTTTCCATTTGAAACTTGAATAACTTATTTACTTTATAACGGATTTATATAACTCTTTTTTTCTTTCGAAGAGTACAATTTTTCCTTTCAAACAATATATATATTTGGTAAATCGGTTGAGGATTGACTGAGTTACAGCGGTTGAAATGTGAAAAAATACGCATAAAATGACAAAATTTATTTTTCTTCGGACTGTACGATGAAATTATGATATCAAGCCATATAAGTTTTATTATATTGCGGGGAAGAAAATTAAATTAGCTTTCGAAAATGATAAAAATCAAAAAAATCGGTTAAAAAATGGATGACTTATACACATTTTTGTATTGATTCTATGCATATTCTCAAAGGAAATATGTGTCTTTATCGTCTCCTGTTAGAAACCGTTATGTTTGCAACAGGCAAAAGGAAACGAGATAGACCCATAGTTCCTTTAGAGAATATGCATATAATCAATACAAAAATGTGTATAAGTCATCCATTTTTAACCGATTTTTTTTGATTTTTATCATTTTCGAAAGCTAATTTAATTTTCTTCCCCGCAATATAATAAAACTTATATGGCTTGATATCACAATTTCATCGTACAGTCCGAAGAAAAATAAATTTTGTCATTTTATGCGTATTTTTTCACATTTCAACCGCTGTAACTCAGTCAAGCGCTGTAATTCAGCCAATCCTCAACCGATTTACCAAATATATATCTTGTTTGAAAGGAAAATTTGTACTCTTCGAAAGAAAAAAAGAATAATATAAATCCGTTATAAAGTAAATAAGTTATTCAAGTTTCAAATGGAAAATCCATGAAACCACGTTTTTCTCTATATTTACCGTTATAAAATTAATTTTCGAAGTGACCCAGAAAAAACAAAGGTATTTTCGTGATCCAGGGACTCCAACTAAACAGAATTGGTACAATAGAACCCCTGAAATTTTTTTTTGTTATTTTGTAGCACAGTGTTATTATTAAATAATGGAATATTAAAACACCAACTGAAATAGGAATAAATTAATAAAATGTTTCCAAATTGAAAAAAAAAAATAGATAGGTATCGCCAACGTCATTAAATTCAGAAACTTTTCCATAGTGTAATTACTTGTTCGAGGGAGCTTTTGAAATATTAAGATCAATTTTGTGTTCATATTATATATAAATATACATAAACACATATACACTGGTGGCCAAAGCTAAAACAACTGAAATTGAAAAACTGAAAATAAACATATAGTGAAAGTTTTTTTTTTAGAAATGACTCCCACAACCTTCCAAATCAAACGGTACATTTTCTTCAGCGAAGGGAACCATAGCGTTTTCCAACACATTTGTATAAACAATCCGAACCTTTACCTTTAAATCTTGTAAATATATCGAACTCCATAGTATGAAGAACAATCCAATACCACCATTGCCCTTCTACAAGCTTCCCAGTACCCTTGCAATACTGTGGCTTGATCCTTTCAATTTTTGAGTTTCTCACGGCAATTTTTTCCTCTCAGAGTTTTTAATATTTAATTTTAGCATAATATTTCCCCACCGAGTCGAATATGAGCTTTTGCGAGAGGCAATACGCCTTTCGATTATTTTCAGGAATAAAAGGACTTTCTTGATAGCTTTCGGGCATGTAGGCCTGCTACCATAGCTTGTCTACGCTCTGTTCTTGAGGTTATATCCATCGATTTTTCAAGAGCTCAATTGAATTATCCTGCAACGTATAAATGAGCGACTAACGTTTAGTTAATAGGCCTTAACCCTTTGATTACCATGTATGTGCACAATTAAAACATAGACGCACTCTGAAAATTATTTTTAGGATCTTTTCTACAAAACACTTTTGTAATTATTTTCCAAATACTACAAATTTATTTGTCATTAGCATTCATTTTTTGAAATTTCCAACAGTGTCTATTAGAATTTCTTACAACATTTAAGTAGGTAGAAGAACTCTCTCGCTTAGCAATTAGTGAATAGGGACTAATAAATCGATGCACATTGCAGAAAGACTCGATGGTGAATTGTCCTTGAAAGAATTCGTATGAAAGTGTAAATATAAATATGTGTATTGTTACCTACGTCGTCAAAACAAAACAAAAATAAAAAAATCGTAAGCAATCCATTGTTTCACTTTTGATTTCCTGTTAACATTTGAGTTAAAACAACAATGTGCTGCAGACCCACGGACAGACATTCTTTTCTGCATGTTTCATCAATTTGCGTGTGCATCCTCTATATGGAGCATCCACGATCTCTTGGATATTTAATTGCACATTCCATTTCAAAAAACGGATAAATCTATGAAACCAAAAACAGCCATAAATAAAACACATCTTTTGCAGAATATATGTATGTATATCACACCAATTCTGAATTGGATTACTCCCAAAATTCTATGAACATGCGATATGCTGGAGGAAATGTTTACTGGGTGGTTCTGGCTATTGTATGACGGATACAAATGTTTTGTTTCATTTGTGTTCTTTTTTCATCATTGTTCCTCATACAAAGAAGACACGAAAGAACAAACTGAAATGAATTTGGATAAATGAACAAAGCAAAACACAGAATGGAATTTTTCCATTTGATTTTTGAAATCACGTTTCACGAGCGTGATCATCATAACTGCTTCAAGAGAAATGACACCCTTTCCCAATTACAGACTGGAAGAAGAAATCCCTTGTGCTGCCATCACCCAGGAGCGACAGGTAACATGGTAAGCAACATTGTTGTTGTTGCTGACGATGGTGATTGCAACAATAACTAGGTGAGAAAGAACCGGTAGCAGACATACATAAATGACAGAAAAAAAACGCAGACAAAGCGATTTGCTGTTCTTTGTTCTCGCTTCGTTTCAGACAGAAAGAGAGGGGGAGAGAGATAGACGTGGATTACTTACATTGACCAAACTTACGCCAAAACAGGCTACCCATCCCCAGCCGCCATCGGGGGCTACCTTCTTAGTTGTCGATTGTGGCTTCATTATTAGACAATGATTGTAGTTGTTCTTCTTGTTCTTGTTCGTGTTGTTGTTTTTGTTATGTTGTACTACTACTATTAACGATTAATTCACAGCCGCACTCACGCACTTGAACTGATATTAGAAGTGTTTTGAAAAAAATAAATGAATATATCGACTTTTGTTCTCTGTCGATTGGTTCTTTTGTTTCAGTTGTCGTTCTATTGCCGTTTACACAATTTCACTTGGTATACACATTATTTTCATTTCGATTTGATTCCAATGTTTTTGTTGCGTTTCATTTATTTACATTTTCATCGGATTTGTTTGGATTTGTTAACAATTAGACGGCGGGGGGAATTACTGGCGGTGTTCCGGTATTGATTGATGTCGGTTGTACAACGATCGGATTTCTTGTTGACTTTGGTTTTTATTTTTTATTTATTTTTTTTTTCTTTGTGATTTCGGGTGTTGAGACGTGTGTCACTTCAGTGTCTACTTCCGTAAGGCATATTTGGCCATTACTGGCTTTGTGACTCCAACACTTTAAATTAATACAGCGATCGATGACGTCAGAATTCAATTTTCTTAAAAAAAAACAACTAACACAGCTAATTTCTTTATGACAATTTAAAATGAATATTTTTTGCAGCCATATTTGGTTTATGGAATATTTTTATATTTTTTTTTTTTCGTTAATTTATCACTTATTATTTTTATTTGGAAAAATACTTGTTCTCGTTTTTTTAGTTTTACTTGTTCTTCTTTACATCAAAATTTGTTATTTCAGTTCTTCAAAATTCGCTTACAACCCGTTTCGTGTGCCAGTGTGAAATTGTGCGCGATGGTCACGGTTCCAAACAAGACTGCAGAGCAGAGTGAGTTCAGCAAACCAGGCAAACAACCAGCTGATATGATGGCGATCCGCACGTTCACACTTCTTTACATTCGATTAAGTCGGAACGGCAGCAGCAGCAGCAAGGGGCTATGAGAACACAACGAAGAGACAGCCATTCAGGCAGGCAATCGTCCAAAAGTAAACAGAAGAGAGCGCGAGAGTAACTTCTTTTTTTCCCGCTGCTAGGAAAAGCCAAATTCAGCCAGGTCGACAGGCAAATAAATATTTGTATTGGGATACACTTTCGCACAAGTAAATTTTCAGTAGCACCAACAGCCAACAACAAATCAATGTCAATGATTCTTCGTCTTCCTCGTAAGCGTGTGAGTGTGTGTGGGTCTTGTTTTTTTTTGCTAAAATAGCCAACAGCTGACTGACTTCCAGAACGGGTTTTGTTTTTCTTGTTGCTGCTGTTGTGTTTGTACTTGTTTGTAGGAGGCACCTTAATTTTGTACTTTGGTTATAACATTTGGTCACTTGGGGTAGATTGTGATGAAAGGACTGCAGTATCCAGACCTTTCCTTATACTGTTCACTTTTGCCTAATTTCTAAAATAAATCTATTGTGTCCGTTGTTGTTGTTGCTTTAATTAAATAATTCGTGCAAAAATATAAAAGGAACGAACAGCGACCAGTATTGAAACACAAAAAGCAACCAACCACCTGTTGTTAAGCTCTTTCGACGCGCAAAATTGTACTGAAATAATTGAAAAGTAACCACCAAACAAAAGCAGAAGAGTGCTAAAAAATACTTTAAAACACTTGAACACATAGATTTATACACATACACACACTCTGGCACATACGATTACCCACCACCATCACCACCCATTCTCACATCCTCACACACACATCTACACAAACGTTCTATAAGAACCAACAATAAATGTATCGAAATGTGAAAATGCAGTAAGGAAAGCGAAATGAGCAAATGTAGATACAAAACAAAAACAACAACCACGCACACACAACCACTCGCACACAGTCACACTTCTATAAACATCGAATGTTAGGTGCTGCGAGAGACATTTACTGGTGTGTTCACTTTGTTTGAAAAGAACCAGCTGGTTGTTATTTTATCTTCCGCCAAACATATGGACTCTGGGTGCACGCCAAGCCATCCGACCGACACAACGAGCGAACAAACAAACATACAGACAGACATACGCACAGAACTGTTCGTAAACAATATTAAGATAAACATTCTTCAATGGCTGTTATGTTGTTGTTTTCTCTCTGCATTTTCGTTAGTTGGTTCGTCTCTTAATTATTTATGGCTCAGAGAAGAGAACCAGTCAATTTTACCAATACATCGATTTGACAAACAATGCTACCAGCTTATTATAAAATTGTATTTAGTTTGTGGGATTGTTAATTCCCCTCAAATTTTGGATGTAGAAATTTTAAACATTTGTACGTACAAATATTCTGATTTCAAATTTACATTAGAAAAATTTTACCGAGTGTGTGGAATTCAAAATACATTTAATTCGGTTGTAAACGTGCCCAAACTCCCCAAAATACCGACAGTTCTAATGTATATGCCGTTTAGCTTTCTCACTGAAAAAAATGTTCGTGTCGAGCCTTAAATATTAAACTTTAATTCAACCGAGAATATAATATTTCTCCACTGAGTCGGATTCCTTCGTCGATGCTCTGTTCCTAAGGTTATATCAAACACCAATTCCGTTGAACTTATAAATGTATTTTTTTTTACTTCTCTGACAATGTGATGTTTAGTACGTTCTGATGTACCTTTGCAGCCTTCCTTCGTGATGAACTGTCGCTACTGATCTAGATGCATAAAACCGACTTATAACTCGAGAAATCACTGATTTAGTCAGGGAATATTTCTCGGAAATAATTTTCTGTGATAAATTATTTTTATAATCAATGAAAATTGTCGGCTATATAGGTGCACTGTATTTGTTTCTACCCATATATATATATATATATATATATAGGAGGTGATGCAAATGTGGTATACCCATTTGTTTTTAGATTGCCAAATTTTTATTTTTTACCCGATTAAAATGAAATTTTACACTTAACATGCTACGTGTGTTGTCTTTCCATGTATCAATTTGAAAATAATATTATTCTAACAATTTAAGAGATATTTGAGAAAATATTTGAAATTCCATAAAAAGTGATTTAAAAAAAAGTGCAGGTAATGTGGTATACCATATGATGTTGATGTGGTATAGTATAATTATCATTCCCAATTGATATCTTATATAATTTATTGTTTTTAATGAATGCAATTTAGCTCGAGATTTATGTCTGTTGAGATTTTTGACGGATACGTTGAGTAGAACTTTAATTTTATTATATAATAATGTCTACACATGACAATATTGAATTTTTGTATGGGCAAGTCGTTAAAACTCATAGCCATTGTTTTTCATCCTTGTGATTTATGGTAGGCTCTCGTAGAGTACAAATGTTTCAAATAGTAATGATATTTTGTCTTGTGCTGGCTTTTGTTCATGCAGACTCAAGGTATACCACATTACCTGCACTTGTGTTTACCGAATAAACGTGTAGTTTTTTCCCCTAAATTGGTAAATATGTGGTGCAATCGCGCATATTATTTAACTTTTAGTACTTACTAATTGTTTTAATGCTTTAATAATAAATATTAAAATACATTTGTAAAACAAAAAATTATTTTTAAACTTCAACCGAAAAAAGTCAATTTCATGAAAATTTTCATTTTTGATACTGATTCCCAACGTGAGTTAAATAAATTAAACAGATCATTGCTATCTTATTTTTTTTGAGAACAGCAAACTATAGAACATGTTTCAGTTATTCTAAAATTTTCAGTTTACAAAAAAGTGACTATACTACATTACCAACCTATACCACATTTGCATCACTTCCTCTATATATACATATATATATATATTAATATTTTTTAGAGCTCATCTGTTTTTGTACAGTAGAGTTGCTTGTCCATACAAAAATTGGGTCAATTTCGTTTTTCACACATTATTCTTTAATTAAAAATGAATTTTGCATTTTTGTTCTTAAATGATTTAAAAATGAAGAAATCAGCACGATATGTTTATTTATGGCCACCAGTGTATACTTTATGGGGTTTTCAGTGAATATTTCGAGGTGTAGTAAACGGAATGACAAACGGGTATACAAACAAATCCTAATCCACTTACATCTCGACAAATAAATGCTAAAATGAAGCTATTCCGGCATAGTTTAAAATATGTTCGACCGATATTAGTTAAATATTTACTTAAAATTATAACATCTTCCTTATCTTAAAAAATATATTTTTAATTTGTATTTTATTTTTCATTTCAGGTTTTTGTGTATTGTATATGCTCAGTTTTCCGTATGATGATAATATAATAGAATTCTCTCAATCATAAAATTGTACATGGATTGAAATACAATAAAGTCCAAATAAGTCGGTTAAGTTGTTAAGAAAATTATTTATTAATAAATCAGTTTAATAAAAGCCTCTTACTTTAATCAGATATATTCCGACCAGCTTATGATACGATTTTTTATATAAATAAATATGTATGTATTTTAATATGTATCGGTGAACTATTACTAGCGCCATCTATTTCATTTTTTAATAATTATAAATGTGAGTTTTACTCCTAAAAGTATGCTAAGCGATGTCATTAACAGTGGATGTATGAAACGAAATATAATAAAATATACTTCTGGTTGTGATATTCAATCGCTACAAGAGATAACATTTTGAAATGTTTGATTTTATTGATTTAGGTGTTTCTATATGGGTAAGTTATAAAAGCCTTCGTCCATTGCTCAAAGCCGTCAATTTCCGGTATGCTTAAATGCAAACGGTAAAATGTTTGACATCGTCTCCATATAAGAGTCCCATCCGTTTTTATCTATTTTGAATGTCCAGTACATGGTGGACTTTGTTATCAAGGCACTAAGCGAATAACAGAATTTTTACTTCTACAAATGTTAAAAACTGCACTTTGCCCATTGATGATGAATATTTTCATAGCGTGATGTAATAGATCATATTGTTCTTATTTTTTAGAACAAGTCGAATATTCAATATCTAGTCCCCATTTAGGAGACTTATGACAGTTGTCAATTGCTGCTCCTAATATTACTTATTACAGTTATTAGCCAGTATAAATAGTGGTTGAGCTGACCATTCCCAAAG